CTTTTGTTTCTCCCCCTTTCTATTCACCTTCTAATTTCCCCCAACCTGTCCATACACACTTTTCTCTGGTCTTTGCAAAAGTGAAATCCGTTTCTACATAGGGACACAGTTTACCCCCTTGGCTTTAAACCAAACTACTGTCCTCTCCGAAATGCGGCTAACAACTGCATGTCCCTCCTAGGGCAGCTGGGACACCCGCACGCTCCCCAGGAAAGCAGGCCGGGCGCTGCGGCCCACAGGCAGCGTCCCATCGTGTTCCTTTTACGGTTATGACAGTATTTTGTTACTCGCTCGCGGAACCTCGCGGCGGCGTTAACGCGACTTGGGTTTAGGCCTCGCAAGGCCGCGGCTCTCGTCCTGGCTGGTGGTCCTGCCGGCGCCTTCCAGCCGAGGCTGATGTGAGCGTTGAACGTGCTCATGTGCGTGAAGACCTGCTTCACACGATGGGGGGGGACTTTTTTTTTTAATCAGGGCCCCAGACCCAGAGTGGGGGGAAACTCAAGAATCCTATAAATACGAGGAAACATTATTCACTTGGGGATGGTTTGTGTTTGAGAGAAAACTAGGAAAAGGTTAGCAAATCTGCTTAACAATAGACACCAGAGGACATAAGCTTTATTTTTAAAATTTTGAAATATTTATTTTTTTCACTTGCCCATTGATTGAGACACAGATATTTGGAGAAGCTGTGGCATGGTGGTCGGGAGCGTGGTGCGTGATGGGAGGACGTCCAGAAAGGCCTGCTGGGGGGATCTGGGCTTGTCTGACCTTCTCAGGTCCTCAGAATCCAGCCCACTGAGGGAACCTCGTTGCCATCCTTCTTGAGGGAGTCGGCAGAAGGTTATCATCTTTATCTTTATTCTTTGAACCATCATGATCATTTAATCCCATCAATTCTGTATGAGCATTTTCGTCTGGATGTAGGAAAGTATTTTCTTTATAGTGACTTCAGGGAGCTTAATATACTCTTACCTTGTTGGCTTGGATATATGACAGTAATAATGTAATGATAACAGTAACAGTGAACATTTATGTCGCGAATATGCCTATGATATGCCAACCTTTATTCCAAACGTTTCACACACTACCTGGCGAGCTAGGTACTGCTTTGACCCCCCTTTTACAGATAAGCATCTGAAGCCCAAAGAATGGGGTCACTTTCCCAAGGTCACTCAGATAGTGAGTGGCTGAGCCGGAATCTGAGGCCCCCTACAGAGTTCTCTCTTGGTTTCCAGGCCAGGTTGCTTGACGCCTTGTCCACAGTCTTTGCTGGCTGGCCTCAGTTCTAGTTTCATGGAGTAGTTGGCAGTACTCTCGGGTTGTCTGTGTATTTCTCCATTTTAACTCTCCTATAAATCTTTCCTCAGGCAGCCCCCACCGGTGGTCTGAGTTCCAGCCCCGAAGCTGGCTGGCTCTGGGATGGAATCCTGTTTTGTTTTATGTTATCCAATACTGAGTCGAACTGCCCAAGGTTACCGTGGCCCAGTGACTCACCCAAAAAGAAAAAAGTTCTCTGGTCTGGAGGCCTTTTAGGATGTTCCCACTGAAAGCCGAGAATACCACGATGTGATTTCAGAAGCCTAGGCCGATCTTTCTAGAAGGGGCACATGGCGGAGAACTGCTGAGAGTCAGAAGGGCAGTGGAACTAAGCTCCCATTCCTTTCCGCAACACCAGCTCCTTGTTTTTTCTTCAGCGAAACCTCACTAATAATTTTCTGGGAGTCAAAGGGCGTTGGAACTTTCTCCTCTAATAACCTGGTGTTTACAGATTTTCCCATTTGATGCCTCCTTGAGGCCGTGTCCACCGTGGTGTCCATTTGAGGACAGCCATTTAAGCTGCTTTAAATAGTTCGAACAATCTTATAACAGAAGCAGCCTTTCGGTGTTTAGATGTCTTGGTCCCGCTGTTCTCTTGCCTTAGCTATGGTTGCAAGCTTTATTTCAAGCAAGAATTTTTTTAAAAACAACTGATCCCCTTTTCAAGGGCAATTACACGCACAAGACCAATATGTAAAGCAGGTAAAAATGGTGCTGTTGTGTTCGAAAGGCTCTGGAAGGACCTGGAATTCCACCTCCCCGGACCACTGTCTTCCTCCCCAATTGCATAACAATTGAAAACCGCTGACCCATTGGATAAGGTCCAAGGTACTTATTTAAATATATACATCATTTTATGTAGGAAAAAACAAAGCGAATTGGGGCTATGCAGACTAAACACAATGAAGTATAATAGGGCTGAGGTGCCTCAGAAAACATATTTTGTCTTTTTCCATTTTGAATATATCAATAAAAAAAGAAACAAAATCTCAACTCAAAGTCTCTTGACTTCCAGCCCAGAATCCTTTCTAATTTTTCCTATGGTATTTCTTTTTATGCATAAGAACATTCGCATGCACCGTCGAGGGGAGTAGACATTGCTCCTAATCAGAAGCTAGTATTTCTGGGGGTTGGAAAGTTGCTCCGTTTAGTGACACTGCACAGAACTCATTTCTTCAGAATCCCTCTTTTGCTAAGTGCCAAGTTCTAAATCCCATCATTCAAGGACTTCATTCATTTCTCCCTCCTTCATTCATTCTTCTTTCCATCCACCCATTCATCTATCCATCCATCTATCCACCCACCACCCATCCAGCTCATTGCTATTGAACACCTGCTAGGTCTTGGAAATATGGTGGTGAGCGAGACAGACTTGAGGCCTGCCTGCCCTCATAGGGCTTACAGCCCTTACACCCAGGGTAGGATGGTGTGGAGGGGAGTCTACAAATGGTTCTGGAACTGTTCATGGTACTATAGATGTGTTTATCTTCATCATCATTTCCCCATCATCAATTTTTACCAACAGAATAACTCCCTGCCCCCTTTTTTATTCCAGCAAAATCTCAACAGAAACTCAGACTATAAAACAAATATAAGCAGAACAGCCCAGTTCCTGCCCCGCAAACCCATAGCCCCTCTCATTTTGCCCTTGAGGTACCTCCTCAGACAGCCAAACCTGACCTTGGTCTCTGTCATGATTCCATATTCTCCTAGTGCTATGTATATAGTTCTTCATCTATGCTAATGCCTCAGCTATAGAGAAAACTAGAATAAATGTGCAACTTGAGGCCCTCAGACCTCAAAAACTGCAGAAATGGTAACTAGAGCCTTTTTATGTCCTTTCGGCTTCTAGTCCCAAAGCTTGTCGTGGAGCCACTAGAATGGGACTGGCAACACCGTTGATAGGATTTTCTTTAACAGTCCCCAGACCCATGTATTTACCTGTCCTGTCTCAGTCGAGATGCTGAAAACAAAATAACTGCATGGACAACCCCCTGAAACCAATACAGGACAAAGGCATTTTATACACATGTTTGTTTCGGGTTTGGGTAACTTGAAATTATTTAATCATGCTTAATTTCCTGTAGGGGGAAGGGAAATTTCCATCATAATTTGAGACAAGTGGCGGTTTTGCCTCTGGCAGATTTAAATGAGAAAGTGAATGCTGGGATCCACACAGCCTCATGAATGTACATCTGTGCCCATAGTCTTAATCAGCCTCTTTGTGTGGCTTCTTTCTTTCCTGCGGGGACTGTAACAGCCTCAGTGATGTCTGCCCATGTGATGCAGCGACATTTGTACAGATCAAGGCCCACAGGCTTTCTCATTTGAATGGCCCTGAAGGCTCCAGCCTTTTCTGAATGGCCACCTAGAAAAGGGCCTAATCCTTAGAATAAAGTGATCCCCAGGTTTGAAGGTCAAGTTTCTTAAGTTTTTTTATATGGCTATGTCGATAATCTACCTGGGATTCCTTCATTATGCCTCCACCTCTGTGAATTTCTTATTCTGTTCCTCTTCCCTCTCTTGTCTTCTCTAGCACTTAATCCATTTCATATTCAAACTCAAAAAAGGCCAAATAGTTATTTAGTAAACTTATAAAATATTCTCATAGGCCAGGGAATGGCTGGTTTATTTACCACCTCCTCCACAGTGTTTAAAAATTATTTTTTGAATTTGAATGCCTTTGGACTTTGCACGTGCTTGCCAGTTTGCCACAGTCCCAACCATTCTCCGTTATATTTCACCCCCACCCTACTTTATATTTATATTACTGGCCTGGTTTTACAGTCAGTCTGGTCCCTTCTTGAACACCAAGGCTTTCCCAGGCTGCCTTCCTTGAGAATCTTCTGTGTGCATTTTAGAATTCTAGAGTATTATAAAAGACATTGCTACTTTGCATATATTTGTATCAAGTGGGAGGAGTTATTAAAAGATATAAACACAGCATTCATTTATAGAAAGCAGTTAAAAAAAAAAAAAGAGTTGTACTCATTACTGGGAATATTAATAGGATACCAGGCAGAAAATCTTACTAATTTACAAAAGGATTTGGTAGGTTTTGTGTGTAACCTTGCAAACTTCACTTGGGTAGTTAATTCTGGCTAATGGAGCAAATTATGCCTGAAACACCACAGGAGGCAAAAATGACAAAACTGAAGCTGTCCTACTTTGGACAGTTCACAAGAAGGCAGGATTCTTTGGAAAATACAATAATGCTGGAAAAATAGAAGGCAGCAGGAAGAGAGGAAGTCCAAATGTGATGGATTAACTCCGTAAAAAAAGCCATAGGCCTGAGTCTGCAGGAGCTGGGCAGGGCTGCTGAGGACAGGACACTGGACATCACTCATTCATAGGGTCACCAGGAGTCAGCGCTGACTCAGCGGCGTGTAACCACAATAGAGCTTTGATTTGATCACAGGGTTCTTGGAGCTCTTAGGTGACTTGATAGTGGGTCCTTTATGTCCGTATTCTCGAATGTCATCCTTCCTGTCCAGTTCTTTCCTTGTCTTATTGCATGTCACCCCTTGTACCATGCTCTGTGTCCAGAGGATGGCTGTAGTTCTTCTCATTTGGGCTACGGACACATCTGTCTATGGAATTCTCCTGACTGTTGGTACTAAACTTGGAAGACTGATTTGTTTCCTCTTTTAACAAAACCCTCTCTTTCATTTTCCATTTCCCAGCAGATATATGGAGTGATCACTCATTTCAGACCGACCCAGATTTGCCTCCTGGCTGGAAAAAAATCAATGACATCGCTGGGACCTATTATTGGCACATACCAACAGGAACGACTCAGTGGGAACGCCCTGTCTCCATCCCAGAAGATCTCCAGGGATCTAGGAAAGGGTCGCTTAGTTCCGTAACGCCATCTCCCACCCCCGAGAATGAGGTAAAACGGAGTGTCTTTGTAACGGCTTAGGAGAGCGGATGTAACTTGTGGTTTCCCTTTAGATTCGTTGCCTCTGCCCTAACAGGTCATCGAGGTAAGCTTTTTGATTAGCATGCATGTTGCATTTGAAACCTCAGTAATGCAACCCTTAGTAAATAGTGTTAATACCATCTTTCAGGGATGTTTTCATTTTTTAATGGCTTTTGATCTCTTGAAACACTATTTTAGGTACAGAAAGTAAGAGGGGCTGATTAATGAGAAGTGTGGTTAAGATTCCCCATGGCTCCCGGAGGCAGTATTTTACTCTGTAGGTGCCATTGCTTGGTGCTGACAACATAAAATATTTACACACAGAAGAACGTCTCTTGGCCAGACAGCTTATAATTACTGCATGTCTTATTACCCTTGGATTATTTGATTGCATGGAGAGGATGTCTGTAAGAATAACCCTTGAGAGCCCTTAAATGCTTAATTTCTATTTTAAAAACAGGATCTGTTTATTTAGCTGAAGTGACATTATTTTAGAAATAATGAGCAGCATAAGTTTCTGCTTTCCCTGAGGAAGAAATCTGAATGTTTAAACAAAGAATTGAGGCATTACAAGAATTCCATTGTGGTGTTTATTAATATAAAGAGTCCTGCAGTGAACCTTCGTGAATCCTGATAACAAATAGCCAAGAGAATTACACTTGGGAAAGGTCACAATTAAATAATGGCTTTTTTTTTTTTTTTTGAGAAAAGTGGTTTAATCGCTGACACCGAGACTTTTTGCTTTTTTCTGACCACAATCTTTTGTTCTTTAAACAACCCATTTTCTTTTACTTTGGGGGCATGGATAACATTTGAACTGCGTCTCTTACCTGCAAAGCTGCTCTATATATTTGCAACTATTATCACCCATGCTGTAGAAAACCAAAAAAAAGACATCTTGTTTCCTACTCTTTGATTATTTACTTACTCTTCTGGGAGGCAGGAAAACCTGTGTTCCAGCCACATCCTGCTGCTACTTGCCTTGGGCATCTCGCTTACCCAGCCTGGACCTCGGATTCTCCACCCCCAAAGTGCGGGGCTGGAGCAGCTGTATCCTCAGTGGTGGGCGAGGGCCGTGGTCGGTTGGTGCTTTTTCCTGATGATCAGGAATGTGCCTCAGTTCCGCTGAACCACGTAGGATTTTGCTATTTATCGCTGGGTGATTCTGATAACGTTTTAATGAAGCATCGTATTCCTGCTCCCTGAGCAAACTGCACTCAGTCATTTTATTCATCTTGTGTTAGGGGCCCTGGGGAATAAAGACGAACGACTCAGCCCTGGTGCTCAGAGAGCTTGGCCTGCAGTGGAGCCCTCTTCCTATCCCAGCCCTGTCGCATCTTGGCATTTCTCCCCGGACCGCAGAGTGGCCTCCCGGACCCCGAGCCGGCTCTCGCTAAGGCTCGGATATCCTCTCTCTTCCTTACCATACATCTTGGCTCTTGGCATCTGTTAGAGTCTTTCTCCATTCTACGGCTTCTTTCCCCTATTGCAGCCCTTCAGCTGTCTTCACCAATGAGAAGTGTCCTACAGCCAGAGAATGCCAGGGTGGGAAGGGGTCATCTGACACCACTCTCCCTACACTGGAGACAGGGAAACTGAGGCTCAGAGAGGTCAGTGACCAGCGGCAACACTGGGTGCGGAACTCCTAGTTCCCGAATCCTCCTGAATTCAGGCCCCAGTGCTTCTCACCCCTCTTCCTTGGCTTTGGGGTTTCATCCTGCCCTGCTTTCCCATTGTCCCAGAGGTGAGATTAGAGGAACTTTGAGACCTGTTTCTGTTCAGTGAATCTCTTGTCCTCTGTATGTGGGAGAAATGAAGTCCTTTTAAAGCTCACCTTCTGGGTCCAGGGTGTGGGGGTCCTGGAGTCCAGGAGGGCATCCCAAGGTGTCTGTGGCTCAGATGTTCATTTCTTCAATGAATATGGTGGACTTTCATTTCCATGTTCTGGGAAGAATGCAACACAGGTGAGCAGCTGGCCCTGGTAGCATGTCTACCTCTAACCCCAGAGCCTTTTTCCGATGCCCACTTTGCCTATTCTTCCCCTTCTCCATGCCATCCACAGGTCGTGTCCCTCCTTGTGGCCCTCCCTCCCCGCCTTCACTGGAATTCAGTGTTTCCCTCTCACTGTCCCAGTGCCCAGCCTCCCAGCTGCTATTTATGACTTAGTATGGCTTTCACCGTATTTTCATAAATGTCATTTCATTTGTTCCTTCAAGACCCTTCATGTGGCTGAGAAGGCCGCCATCATTCTCCCTATTAGAGTAAAGAGGTGGCTGAGGCTCAGTGACCTGAGTAAGCGCTCAGCTGGCGTTGGGTGGGCCAGTTCTCTGGCCCCAGAGCCTGTGCTCTGCTCAGGACGGTGGGAATTTCCACCTTGCTATTGGTTCCATTCCCCTCTTCTGTTGCTAACCTTGCCATTGTTTTTGACAAAGTCTTATCTTTCCAAGAACTTCGGTAATGGATGTGTAGTTTTTGAAGTTTCAGAGAAAGTGACATATCCAGCCCTTCAGTAGACCAATGGGATAGGTGTTCCTCAGATCAGCCTTTCAATTGTTCATGTTGTATTCATTTTTCCTGTACATAAGGCCATTCATGAAGTCAAAGAACCAAACAGATTTAAAAGGCAATCCATTAAAATCATAAGGGCAAAGGGGAAAGAAGGTAGAAGAGGAAGCAGAGTATTGGGGAGAAGACCCAGCCTGTCACATATCCAGGGCCTGCAGATGCTGCAATGGATATTAAATCAGAGGCACTAAGGGTAGTCGAGTGTACACAGGGCCAGGCTCATGCCTTATCACCTTACTCCTCATAAAACTCCATGCACCTGGTACTAGAGTTGTCACTCTCTTTTTACATTTGACAACACTGAGACCCAGAGAGGTGAAGGAGCTTGTCCAAGATCACACACCTAATCCATGGTAGAGTCAAGCCTGAATGAAGGTCTGTTGACCCCCACCCCTACCCCAAGCATCACTATACTGTATTATCAGGGGCTTAGAGAGCCTGGAATCTCTTTACCTCACCCCAAGGGAGGGCTGTGTCATGTGCAGAGCCTTCTAGCAAATGACTTCTCTTGATAACATTGTCTCAGGTGCTAATAACAGTTAAAGAGAAATGATTATTTCTCTGACACCATTTCCTTGATCCCTGAATAGAATCGATTTCAACTAATCTGGAAAAATGAGAGAATGTGAAATGTTAAGGGAGAGAAGAAACTTGTAATATGTTGTGTTAGAAATGCATATTTTATTCAGCTTTTCTCTGAGCTGGCTTTAAAAAAAAAAAAAAAGTGCCAGATCTGTTGACTAAGCCTCACAAAAGTTTAGGACTGAAGGCTTCCTTACAGTTTGACAATTTTACATATCACATTCCAGAGTCGACTGGGGAAGTGTTAAGCACAGCGGATAATGTTTCCTCCGCACATGCCAGCAGTATTTTTGAAAGTTTATAAACTGTCCAGGAAGCATTTGCTGCCAAAATTTGGCCCGTGATCATTTCCCCCCAATCCATTGGCTTGTTCCAGATTACTTCGATGTTGAATTTTAGAAGAGCCACACGAAGTATTTTTATGTGTAACTATTAGCCCGTTGGCGAGTCTTCCTTGTAATCTTGCCACCCGAGCTGTTTCCCAGTTCCTCAGGAAGAGGGGGTGGGGGAGAAAGTGGGGTTTTGTGTGACTTGGGGAATTGCTTTCCGAGATGTCGGAAGAGAAATATGGAAGCAGAAAGCTCTCCGTAGTCAAGGTTATAGAATTGAAATCCCTTAGTGGGTTCAGCCTCACACAGCTTCTGTTGTGTGGTCATGAAAGTGCCACACTCCAGGCCCTGGGTCAGGCCCCCTGGACACAGGACTCTCCCGGAATGGAGCATAATCACCATAATCAGGGTCAGGAGCACTGCAGCCTGGGCAAGATCAAGACAAGCACCAGAGGAATATGTCCCCAGCTTTAACTCTGGCAGCAGAGTAAGTGTCACTCAGCCGTGCTGCCTGAAAGGTGATCAGTTGGGAGGTCATCACTCATGGAAGACGGTCTGTTCTTCCTGTGCTACCCTTTCTCCCTGACTTTGTGCCTGTGTCTTTGCCCCACCTGCCTTTTCCTCTCATTGTCTTTCTCTCTGTCTCTTCTCTTTCATATCTCACTCCCACCACCTAGACTACAGACTGGGGCAGCTACAGACTCTCTGTAGAAACAAAGAATCTCCGTTGGGTTGTGGGGTTTTTAAAAACATACTGGATAAAATATTGTATTCTCTCTTCTTAATTTTAAAAAAAAATTAGATGAATAGAATATGTGGTTCTTAAAATTTAAAACTGGTTGTTTTTGTCTTCCATTGCCCTTAATTTTAAAAAAGAAAATTGTGGTCATTTATGGGAGAGAAACTTTTTAAAAAAATGAATGTTTTTAAATATAAAAGGGGGAAAAAGTCTTCGACGTAATTGTAACATAAAACGATTTTTCCTTACTGGATTTTTGTGTGAAAGGGTTTCTTTAGGGTGCCCATGTTATTTTAAGTTTTTTGTGAAATCACTGTGTAAGACCTTTGTTTATTTAAATCTGTAAAGGGTGATTGTTGGAAGCTTGCCAGCCGACTCAAGTCTTCATAGCATGAGAGTGAGATTCATGGAGTTTTAGGACTATAATCGACTTTTACTTTACAGGGACCCTTTCGTGCAGAGTAAATGCATAAAACATTTTAAACCACCCACACTTACAGAGAACTTTTTATTAAATGCTGAAGGTTTTTCTGAATACTTGTTTTTAAAAATACTCTTCTTTCACCCTCCCCAATCCCACCAGAGTGTCTCTTGAGTATAATTTGCAATTTCAGACTCCTTTTGTCAGACATCCACCCTTTTAAAAAATATTTCTCCACAAAAACACAATTATCTTAGCCCTAATTCATTATCTGATATCCTTTTTCAAACTTGAATAAATGAAAACCAAAGGTTGCTCACATGTAAACAAATGGTGATGATTTGGGGCTAAATAGTATTCTTTTCTTTTTTTAAAAGAAACTTTAGCTTAAAATTTTATTTTCTATTCCATACCCCTACAAGGGTGACTGTAAACCTTTTTTGGTCGCTTGCCCCTTTGAAAACATAAGAAAAATTGGGGATCATCTCCCCGGGAAAACACACATGCGCAAAAGCTGACACCCACCCAGGGCTGCCAGGTATCCCCAGCTGACCCTGGAAGACCCTCCTGTGTCTCATTTTCTCCTCAGTGAAAGCTGAACACTGCTTTTGGGGATGGAGTAGAAGAGAGGTAATGGGCTGGGCAGCACCCATACTCTTTTATTCAACAAAAGAGATTACTTTTAAAAATAAATACAGTGGTCTAAGTTCTAATTTGTTTTAAAAACTGCAGTTCAGGTGCCTAGTCTGAAAAGGAAAGCAGCGGTGACACCAAGTGTGCAAGAGAGCTCATGGATCTCAGTTCGCAAAGACGTTGCCCTCAGAGTCCTGCAGGGTTAGATAAGTGCATCTTTCAGAGCACAGGATATTGGAACTTAGCTCCTTCTGCTTTGAGTGGTTTTTAAAACAGTACTGATGTTGTGAGCAAAAGTTAGGGGTCGTGTTTCCTTCTTATTGTCAAAGAACTTTAGTTGAAGTTTCCATTGTGGATTTGTTATCTGAGAAAATAGATTTGCCCACCAAGTCAGTGCAACAAATTAATAAGGATGTCCCTGGGCTTTATTAGTATTATTTCCCCAAATCTTAGATGAAAAATACTTGAGTAGTCCCTCAACCTAGTGGGGGGAAAAAGTCATTTTTGTCTAAGATGAATGGAAGTTGTTGTTGAGATGCAAAGATGTATTGTCAGAGCTCTTCCACCAAGGCAAGGCTTCTGTGCTTTGTTCTGTAACTGTGTTTAGTGATCAAATATTAATTTGTGAAAAAGCTTGTGTGCCTGAGAAGTAGAGCTTTCTATGAATTGGAAGAGTTTATAGAGCTTGCTCCAGATCACTTTCTGTTAGGTTAAATCTCAGCAAGACCTTGAGTCAGACTGCTCCTTACTAACTCTTCCCCCTGCATTGTCCTTTTTTGTTCTTTAAATGAAAATAATTTAACCCCTCAGCTTTTTACGCCCTTAGTCAAGGACACTCCTCAGTGTCCAAATCAGCACATTGACAAATGTCATCCCTAATCTCATTCCTAAGGAAACAGTTCTATTTGGTTCATGGGAGAGAAAGTGGTTCCTACGGAACGAGGTGTACTGGGCATTTAATATTTGGAAGCATTTTGTTTGCTTGTAAGACCACACTTAGAAAATAACGTCTCTGTCTGCTAATAATGTTCAGGCATGTGTTTGGTAAGTAAAGTGCCATCTCTTTCCTCCTGCCTAGTCTTCAGGTGCTAATCTAGATCTAGAGAGAGGGAGCTGGCAAGTTGCTGTTAGAGTGAATTTGTCCCTAACCCATCCTGTGAATACCAATTCTAACAACAGTGTCTTGTGTTTTTGTTTTCCTTTCCTTTCCTTTATTTTTATTTTAAATGAATGTGCTTTTTTCCTGTGTGGATAATTATATGTCTAGAAACAGCCATGGAGTGATTTTGCTGTTCTGAATGGGGGAAAGATTAATAGTGACATTTGGAAGGCAAGTATATTGTCAGCTTTTAGATCATTTACTCTGTTGTCTTTTGTGCATGGCTGTGGCTGTACTTTTCTCTCCTCTGTGAATATCATGCATTCTGCAGGGACGGAATGATGGGGCTTCTTGCTAGGGACGTCCAGCTCACACACGTGGCCTTTTTGGACGTCTCCCCCTGTGAATGACTTCCAGCTGATTGCCCAGGTTGCCTGTTGTCTTGTGAGCGGCGCCTTGCACCGAGTCAGCATCCAGCGGCCCTTGCATGCCTCCTCCTGCCTAAGCTCACGTGCACTCTGCCTCGGGCCGGGAGGGCTCTCCTCCCTCGTGACTTTTGCAGCCATGTCCTGGGCCCTCCCCACTCTCCACTAACAGGTGTCTGTCTCCCTCCAGGATCTGCACGCAGCCACAGTTAACCCAGACCCCAGTCTCAAAGAGTTTGAAGGAGCAACGCTACGCTATGCATCTTTGAAGCTCAGGTAGGGCGTTGGAAGGACCGGCTGTGATGGGTGGCTTTTTGCCACCAGAGTTTGCAATATAGTTCTAAGTCTTGTTTTCTGTTTGTTTGTATGTTTTTTTCTAGAAATGCCCCCCATGCTGATGATGACGATTCTTGTAGCATCAACAGTGACCCAGAAGCCAAGGTTTGTAAAAACGTGCTTTCAGCAACTAGGTTATATCTCACCTCAAAGTAATGACTCTGGATAACGGCCCAGTTTTTGCAAAACATCGATGCAGAGCCGCTTGTTAAGTAATTATCCCCCGATCCGCTCTCTTTTCTGTCTCACAGCACTTAACGTAAATCCCTAGACGAGGTTAGCTCTGGGAGGATTGCTGAAATCATCACGACTCTGCCTGTATCTCAGTACATCGGTTGTTTGCACAGTGGAGAGAGTTAAAATCATTGTCTGACTGGGTGGGCTTCAGAAGCCTTTAAAGGTGAACCAGGTTCTGCCTCTCAGAGCCGCACAGGTGGGAAGAGACCCTTCACACCGCCTCCTCCAGGGAGGCCTCACCTGTGCACGGGGAAGCCTCTGCCATCCCTGTTGTAAACGCAGGCGTGCTTTATGATGAAAAGTGAGGGTGAACTTCTGCTTCTGGCCTTCTGGTGGGGCACCAGTGTTACAGGCATGGAGTCACGTATTTGCACAGGACCCTGTGTTGAGAATCAGGGCCCCGGGCTTGGGGTTTAATGCAATGCAGTCGCCATATTGAAATTCTTACTAATTTTACCTTTGACTTTGTGTATTACTAAGTGAAGCCCAGTGGGGCAATGGAGCATGCACCAGGGGGTCAGAGCCTTGGCTTATGCACAGCCTTGGCTTATGCACAGCCCCGCCACCTCCCTACCCCAGGCCCTGCCACACCTCCCTACACCTGTCCCCACCCAACAACCTCCGTTGCCTCCCACCCCTGTAGGGGACTAGGTATGAGCACGGGGAGAGTTGGTGTTGTGCACACAAGCTCCATGGTGTCTCGGGAAGGGTCAAAGTAGTGGCCTGCCCAGCCCAGGCTGATGGCACCTGGGGTGTTTAGTGGGTGACTCAGTGGGGGTGAAGCCTGCCAACTCTCAATCTAGGTACCTGGCATGTCCTGGCACAGATGTTGCAAGAAACTTGAGGGAAACAAGTCTGCTTTGAGTTGGAGGGTAGGGGTGGGTGAGTCCATGGGAAAGGGGGATTCACCACCTCTGGCCAGGACATAATGTCCCTACCTCTGGCCGGGGTCGATCCAGCAGCTGGTGGGAGGGGGAGCCTGGTGGGGGTGAGCAGGGCTCCCGGGTGCCTGTGATGGTCTGCACTCACCCTGCAAGCATCCCCATACCCAAGGGAGCATGACATTAATATGAAGTTAAAAACACCGTAAGTCAGGAAGGAGAATGTAAAAATTAAAAGTTTCATATTTTAATACTGTTACAGCATTTTCTTCCTGTTTTTTGTTTTTTTTTTAACAAGGGTCCTGCATTTTCATTTTGCATATTTCATTTTCATTTGCAGATTATGAAGCTGGTTCTAGATATTTTTTCTGAATCTCAGAGCGGATCTGTGTCTGTGAATAAAATAGCACATGGGCTCCCTTAGTGGCGGTCACACTGTGTAGGTTCAGAACCCGGGCTCTTTGCCAGAAACCGCCAAGTGGCCATCAGCTCTGTAAGACTCTCGAGGCTTCTGGGGAAGTCCCTGCGGCTCCTGGTCTGCGCAGCTTTCTTCTGAGCGCGGCCTGACCACACGAAGGTGCTCTGAACAAGCCCTGGGCCTGCCGCTGGCATGCTGGCCTTTAACCATACATTTTATGGCGAGGAAGGGACGCAGTAAAGCAGGAAGGTGGGGTGTGAATAATTTGCTTTGCTACCAGGTGATTTGCAAGGGCCATGAGCACAGGCTGGAGGGGTGAACGGCGGAGGTATCTCTCTCTACTTTTTTTTTTTAAATTCCTCACTTAAGGACCCAAAGGTGTTTTTATTGATTTTAGAGAGAGGGGAAGGGAGAGAGAGAGAAACATCAATGTCAGAGAGAAACATCGATCGGTGCCACCCATACACGCTCCGACTGGGGATCGAACCCACAACCTAAGTATGTGCTCTGACCGGGAATCAAGCCTGCAGCCCTTTGGTGCGTGGGACCAGGCTGCAGCCAGCTGAGTGCCTGGCCGGGCCCTTTCTCCACTCCTAAGGGCTGGGCGGTGAGGACTGTAAAGCCCTTTGAGACTGACACGTGAGGGTGGAGAGGGCGCTGCCTGGATTGGGGATGGAACCGGTACCAGGAATGGAGGCCTGGTTGACATACCACCCAAATCGGACCTCCCTTTTTTTCCTCCCAGTTGTATTGCTTACCAGATTCTTTATCTGCCGCCTTTCTGTAGCCAGCGTGTCTGTTCCCACACCTACTGTGAATTTGTTCGTGTTAGTAAGGAGGCTTGGCTTTGTCATAAGTTACTGAAGTTGCACTCAGTTCTAGGCAAAGATGTGCATGTATTTTATTATTTATTGTATATCTTACTTTGTTCTATAAAAGATCTGAGAAGACTTATGAGAACGAATGCTTTCTCTAAGAGGCACAGAAAATATAAGGGCATTGTCACTGTGTCTATGTACATGAGGGTGAATGACACGTATCTCTAAGGGCATCTCAGAGTCTTAAAGTGACTTCTGCAAAATGCACCTGCTTCTAACTACCCTTCCCACCTTGAATCTGAAGGTCCCCATGCTCTAGAAAGTCACTGTTGCTGTTGAGGACCCCAAGCATATAGGGAGGGGAAAAGAGTTTTCAAGCCCCACTTTATATAAATCACACTGTGCATAAGTCAAAAGTAGCCCAGTTCCTTATGGAATGCGATGGTTTGTCTAGTGCCTCATTATAAAACAATTATAATAATGAATCTTTATTTTGAGTGCTGACTTTTTGCCAGGCAGGATCCTAAAGACTATTTTTGTTGACTTGCATCCTCATGAAAATGTAGTGGGCCAGTGTCATTATCTTCATATTGCATATGAGGAAACTGAGGCATAGAAAGTTCAACAGCTAATAAGTAGTAGAGTCAGGGTTTGAACTCAGGCCACCTGGCGCCAGAGTCCAACCATGCTCACCAGACTGTCTAGAGAAAAGTCTCACTTGGAATTTTATTTAGGGGCTTCCAGCAAATAATGTGATCACTGTCCTCAACAAATTCCAGATATTTAGAGATAAAGAGAAATGTGCTTATTGTCTGTTGGAATTTCACAGCATTAGTCCCTGGAAGCAAAGGACAAACACCCGAGCAAAACTCATTTCCAGCGAATGGGTGGAGGACTGTGGACCCGCTTGCGGGCCTGACTTGAGCCCGAGATGAACTCTAGACTCTGAAGTGCAATGGATGCGGCTTTTTCCGGCTCATCCCTCGGTAGTGTGATTTCAGCCCTGTGACGAAGGCGGGCCCGCAGCGGGAGGAAGCGGGACTGGGAGTGGGGAGAATCTGCGTTGCTGGGGATTGGCGGACGCACACCCTTTGGGACCACTGTGCAGATGGCCCCGTTGATGTCCCTTCGCAGATGCTGAGCTGTCTCGCTGCGCTGCTCCTCGGGTTGTGTGGTCACGCCGCCCCCTCGTGGAATCAGGCCAAGGGAAGCCCTGTGGGGAAAGCCAAGATGTGCTTTCAGAATTACGGCTATTTCCAAATCCAGCAGGCCTAAGTGCAATTACTGTTTACAAATCCTGGAGAAGCCAGTGAGTTTAGAACGGACTTTAATGAAGCCGCCCTGGAGGAGCCCCCCATCACCATCACCCTCCATCTCCCCTCGTAGTCAGCCCCACCTCTAATGCTACCTACGGCGCCTAAGAGGGGCCAGTAGCCAGAAGACCAGGATTTCCCAAATGTTCACGCTCTGTAGAAGTATGTGGCTTCTTTAGATAAACATTCACATTTTTCAGTCTGCCATGGACTAGGAAACTGATAAGTAGAAAGTATCTTGCCTTTAAAAGAAAAATATTTAATTTCATATATCATAAAATTCTAAATGTAGCCCCTGAGGAGTGATTACTAAAAAGATTATTATAGAAAATGTCTTCCTTACTCCCTAAATAAGACTTACATGCTAAATAAATAAGTAAATAAAAATTATTTTTAGACTGTCAGGATGTGGATACTTCCGAATCCTCTCCAGCCACCGTGAGTCTGGGCATCTTGACAGTCGTTAATTCAGTGAGACCTCTGGCAATGGCAACACCAAATGACTGTCTCTCTGTCTGTCTCTCGCTCTTTCCCTCCTCCTTCCCTCCTTCCCCCAAAGAGAAGAGTATTTTTATAACTTTGAAAATGTTTTTTCGAGCCTACCTAATATTTATACAGTAAGTATTTTTGTAGTTGATAGCAATATAAGTGAGTTTGTGTATAATTCTGAGCTCTTTGTTTTAACTTTAAAAAAAAGATTTATAAAAGGGTTGCAAAGATTGAGTTTCCATATACCCTTCAGCTGGCTTTGTCTAATAACATCCTCATAATTATGGCACAATCATCAAAACTAAGAAGTTAATATTAACTAAACTATGGACTTTATTCACATTTCCCTTTTTTTCTACTAATATCCTTCTGTTCCAGGACCATTCAAGGATACTACATTGCATAGAGTGAGCTCTTTAAAAATTATTTCACATATTCCTTTCTACAGTTCTCAGATTCTTAATTCCATTATGATATTCCATGTAATTTTTGGCACCATAGTTCGTCTAGGCACCCATTGGTCATGGGAACAACTTCCAGAACTACAAAGCAGATCTACGGCTTCATAAAAATAGGTGTCTATTTTTTCTTTTAAATTATTTCTTTGGTATAGGCCGCTAAAACTGATATTACCAGGTCAAAGGCTATCAGTTTATGGCTTCTGTCACTTATTGCAAAATTGCTTTCAGAAAGGCTGCAGCAGCATATAATTCCATCAGTAATATCCTAGAACACACCTCTTCGCCCACTGCCTGCTTCACCCCAGGCTTTGTCATTTTTATTTATTTATCTTTGTTTTATTGCATGTGAGCTGCTACCTCCTACTTTCAAATTTTCCCTTCTTAAATCATCATCGAGACAGGACATTTCCTATGAAACTCTTTGTGTTTCTGTCAATTCTTGGCTATTTTTTCCCTCTTATTTTTCTATGCATTTTTTAGATAAAAGT